AAAAAAAAAAAAAAAAAAAAAAAAAAAAAAAATGGGAAACGGGATTTAGCTCAGTGGTGCCACTGCCTGCCTCGCAAGCGCAAGATCCTGAGTTCGATCCTTGGTACCCCACCCCCCAAAAAAAGAAGAAGAAAGAAAAGGGAAAAATCAGGAACATAGTAGTGGCTACTCCGTAGTAATTAAAAAGTACTTCTTGCCAAAAAACAGTAAAAACTCTTTGCTTTGCTATAGTTTATGAATGTATTACTTGGTTTGCCCATTAGACATCCTGATTCACCTTTCAGAGTGCAACTTCTATGTCTAATGGCCTCAGGGGCATGTGGTTTTGCTCTGTAAGGAATTTTGTTGCCCATGAATGGGCCTTGGCAGGGATACCCTTCTGGGGAGCTGACCAGTCTGAGCACGTGATCTTATGCTATTGTGGACTTGGGGGTTGAGGCTTTTTTTAGGAACTTAACAGTGATAGGGTGTTGCATGCTAGAGTTAGATTAATGTTTTCTGGTTTGTTTTTTTCCAAACATTTCTCTAAAAAATAAGTTTCTGGGTTTTTTCTTTAGTTGTTTTCCATGAGCAACCACAGTCAAAGACTTCACTTTAACTTAGGTGAAAGATAGTTTTCAAGAACTTCATGATTTACTTGCTGATCTCTGTGCTCTTTTAAGGCCGCTGAGTTTCAAAGGAGTGGTATATACTCAAGATGCTTCTAACTACAGGATCAAATGGACACATTCTTTCCCCCTAGAATGGTTCCTGTTACCTGATAGGAAAATCTTAAGGAAAATTATTTGAAAGGGTTGAGGAAGCATTAGCAGAGAAGGTTGTCAGATCCTTATAACCATTTTAGTTTGGAGTACCCTAGTAGTTGACATGTTGATTCTGCAGGGCTCCAAATTTAGGGCTTTCTCGGGCCAGGGATTTAGCTCAGTGGTTCTACCACCTGCCTCGCAAGCACAAGGACCCGAGTTTGATCCCCAGTACCAAAAACAAAACAAAACAAAAAAACAAATTTAGGGCTTTCTCGATTCATATTGCAGACAGAGACGAGTTCCCTTAGCAAAGGACTATTCCCTCTACCTCTCTATAGGCTTGTGGACCTTAGCCTGAGACACATCTATCTTGTATCACTTTGCTAAAACAGGTAACAAGTAGCCAACAGGTACTAGCTTTCTGAAAGAATATTTCCAGTATGGTGAAATGATTTCTTTGCCAGGTCAGTCTTTTACTGTGATTGGTGGAGTTCTTATTATAAAGCCCTATCTCCTCAACTAAGTCAGTTCCCTTTTGTTTGGGGGTGCACTGGATCAAATCCAGAGCCTAATGCATGCTAAGCATATGCCATAGCACTGAGCTACACTCCCACCACCAACCCCACATTTAAGATCTTTTTACTTGCTGCATATTACTTTTAGCTACCAAATCCTATATTGATCATTGACTCTTGGCTTTAAGTAAAGGGACCTTTTTTGTTTTGAGACAGGGTCTCACTATGTAATTGAGACTGACCTGAAACTCACTATGTATCCCAGGCTGGTCTCGAACTCACAGCGATCCTCCTGCCTCAGCCTCCCGAGTGCTGGGATTACAGGCATGCACCACCATGCCCAGCAGTAAAGGGACCTTCTTTAAGAAGGCCCTTCTTTTTCTTTCATCAGAAAGGGATTGAGTAAGAAGTATATATAGCTCACAAAATCTTTATGGGGTTTTATAATTTCTTCTGAAGAAGCACACTTAAGCCAAGTGTTAGCAACTATATCCCAAGAATGGGCTGCCTAAGGAACTGCTGCTTTTGGAACAATCAGGAAGTTGCCTGCAGGATCAGGAAGCTGCTTGGTGGATTAGGAAGTCTGATCAATTGGGAGCTGTGCCATCCTTGGTTCTACAAAAATGGAAGCCTCAGGTCCTGCACCTCTTCTCATGTGACTGCTGATTAAAGTCTCAGGTGAGTGTACCTCGCTGATTAACATAATTGTATTAGAACCCTCCCTCTATGGAAGTTTAAGGATTACAGTGTTTGACTTTCCTACCTCTGCGTTACAGGAATGCATGTTGGAAGCTCCTGAGCCGACTGATCCATTTTAGTGCCTTGTAATTTTACAGTGCTTTTAAAACCATTATTAAATACCTCAGTTGTTTTATAATTGTTTCATATTCTTCAAAGCATACATTAGATCTTTTCCACTCAGTCATGATCTAAATATTAAATACAGCAATGTAGAAGAGCCCTCCCCATAGACAACTTTAAAGCACATATACACAAAGCTGGGTATGGTGGTGCATGCCTGTAATCCCAGCACTTAGGAGGCCGAGGCAGGAAGGTGTCTGAGAGTTTAAGGCCAGCCTGGGCTACATAGTGAGGTCAAGACTAGCCTGAACTACATAGCAAGACTCTGTCTCAAAAAAAGACTTATATATATCTATATCTATATGCCAATTAACCTAGTAATGATAGAGAAAACTTTAATAGCAAAAACTTACAAATGTCACAATGTAGAATGACATCTACTGTCACTAACAGTAATTTGCTTTAGTTCAGCATTAACAGACACCAGAGGCATTAACCACTGGGTGAGACATCTGGTCTCATCCTGAGATAACAGGGCACATCAAGACCCACTACCAGCTGTAATATTTTTTGTAAACCACATTGTAAAGGTCAAGATGAAAAGAACCATTGTTAACTTTGCTTTCCAGACCAGGAACACCCCCTTCTAGAATAGATAGCTAGACGAATCTTAAAAGTAAACTCCCCTAACAACAAAGAAGTGCTACATCTGGGTTGAAATTTATCTTGTGACCATGATTTGTATATCAGCAATGTAAACTGTGAAAAGGAAATGTAACCACCTGAAAGAGATCAAGACTATAAAACCCTATAAAAGAAAGTTGTAACACAATGTGTTGGTCGATCCTGGCATTACTTTTAGGTGCAATTGACCCTGGTTGATGAAAGAAATAAACTTTTTGTTATTTTACTTCCATTCTGTGCCTCTCTGTGCATGTCACTTACCACTTCCTCTGTAACAGTAATAGTGCTGTTTCCTTAGAGATGGAATAGAATTCCTGTCTCTGTTTCTGAACTTTGGGCAGTGTAACACAGTGGTTTAAATGTCCTTTGTTGATGACTTCTATCCATAACTGAAAATTGATAGGACAGCCTCTTCTTGGGTATATTGTTTTAGATGGTGAAGTGGGGTTAAAGTAGAAAGTAACTGAAAGAGAACTTAGAGCAATTTTTGGAATTTTTTGACAAGAATAAATAATGGATAGATATGAATGTAGATATT